TTTATTTAGGCTAACACTAGGATAAAGGACTAAATTCATTCCTAACTTGCGCTCCTTGCAGCTCCGCTGAAAGCCATGGGGCTGCACAGGGTGCAAGTCAGGGCAGAAACTCAGCCAGAATGTGTCTAACAACTGAACATAATTTGTATAAACAAACGTTATTTACAATATTCCTTCATGAAATCACAGGCTCAGAGTCTGCATATTCTTTAAAGATACAATTCACGCACACTTGAATGCCTACTTAAGAAAAAATCAAGAGCTTTCCCATGGAAACCACACAAAGATATTTTATTTCACAGGTACTGCACAAACACAGATGCTAGCTTTCCATAATGTACTATACGTTCTTATGCTAGCCACATATTTTAGGACAACATCTTTGGCACACTTTTAGACAGATGGCTCATATGAGTTTAAAGGTTTGTCTATTCTGGGGAAATGTGTGTTGTTTTCAAATGTGCTAACTAATATGTTTGAATTAAAAAGCTCAAATACACTTTAGCCCCTAGTGTAGAGAGTCACGTTAAAAATGAATTAGCTGGTTGTGGTAAAAATGTGTTAGCTGGTCCTAAGGGTTGGGCCACATTACAAAATGTGACCATAAAACATACCTTAGTTTGGCACATCTTTCTTTGTGTCCTCACTTACTTTTGAGTCCTGGTAGTAAAACTCTAACTTTCTGTTGGTCTCATTAAACCATCTCCCTGAATTACATAAGCCCTCTACATGCACTATTCCACTGCTACAATGTCTGTGTGGATCATGTATTACCTATGCCAGTAAAAACAGTCCTCTGGGAATAGTCCTATAGTGCCCCTGTCCCTGTGACAATGACCCTCCTGATCACCATTCTGAACTCTGTTGTCAAGGGGTCACAGTGACCAGAACTCCTCCTCCCGCCAAAACACTTTAAAACACCAGCATGTTTTGGAAATGCGTCTCTTCCGGAAGCCCACCTCAGAGCAGACAGATATGGATACCCTTGCACTGCTGCCTGGTCAGGAAAGAAGTCTTGGATTTCCTCAGCCTGTGGGGAGGAGCAGTACAAGACCAGATGCAGAATAACTGCAGAAGTAAAGATGTCTATTTGGACATTGCAGAGGGTATGCAGTTGGGGCACAACAGGGAGGGGCATCAATGTTGGGTGAAGAAGAAGGAACTGCAGCAGCTGGACAAAAGGCAAGGGAGGCCAACAGAAAATCTGGGGCTGCCCCACATACCTGCTGCTTCTATGCAGAGTTGGATGCCATATTTGGTGGGGATCCTACCATTACCCCAAAAGTGACAGTGGACACTACGTGAGATCCTGAGGAGGGAACCCCAGCAATGCACAGCAACAAAGAGCTTGTCAAGGACATGGACGCAGAGGATGCAGATCCAGTGGAGAGCCAGAGTCAGCTGAACTTGACTCAGTTGAGTCCTGAGGAGGAACCCATTATGCACATTCTCTGACTACCCTTGGCTAATGTCAGTGAAACCTTCCTGGTGATCCACTGATGCCTGCATAAACATGAAAAGTACCGCTTTCTGTTTAAGTACTCAGTCTGAGGGATAGGGGTGGGTGGACCAGGATCAAGATATGCATTTCCTCTATTACTCCACAGTTCAGGAAGTCCACTGCACTGAATCAGCAGTCCATTATTTCCTGCACATTGCCCAGAATCACAATCCTGTGCAGCAGGTGACAATTAACAGGCTTGCACACCTGGATGATGACTGTCCCCACTGAAGACTTTCTAACACCAACCGATAGCAATCTAGGGTCGCAAGCTTCCACAGAGAGATTGCTACCCATTTTCCACTGTCAAAACAGCTCTCATTTTGGTGTCTCTGCACTGGAAGGCTGGGGCGAGTTCAGCACACAATTTCTGCATCTGAAAGTTCTGAAGCCACTGCCTGAGCGTCCCAGATTTGCATCCATTCTCAACCATCAGTGCTTATTTCACGGGCCCAGAAGTCTTGTTCCACCATGTGTAGCTGGTCAGTGAATGCCTGCAGCATCAGGTGACTTTCATTCACTGTCTGCATCATTCACTCCTCCTCAGTTCTCTCATTTTCACTGTTGCATGCCTGGCCTCTGTGATAGTTGCTGAAGTTCCACAAACACAGAAGAAGCAGGTGCCCTGTCTCTAAAATTGATATGAGAATTCCAATGATTTGCCAGTGAGGTGGCGAAGAGATTGAAAACCAGCACAAGGAACTGTGGGAATTTTAGAAAGTGGTGTGAAAGAGAAGATCATGGTGGGAACAGAGGGAACTTGACCCCAAGGTCCCACAGTTCCCTGAGAGGAGTACTGGTTTCTCACAATACACTTCCAAAAGTCCCAGGAAGCTGGACCATGGTGTGGGGCACACTGGGATGCCTTCCTGTAGCACAGCGCACTTTTTCTCCGGTACAACCTCTTGACGTGAAGGCGTGCTGCACTGGCAAAGACAGTTGAATCTGCCCATGCTCTACTCGAATTGCAAAATCGGCAGCTACATGCTGGCAGAAATACTACCAATAAAACTTTCTAGTGTAGGCGTGACCTGAGTAACCTTGGCTAACACATCTTAACCTGTTTCAGAGTAGCAGCCGTGTTAGTCTGTATGCGCAAAAAGAAAAGGAGTGCTTGTGGCACCTTAGAGACTAACAAATTTATTTGAGCATAAGCTTTCGTGAACTACAGCTCACTTCATCGGACGCATGCAGTGGAAAATACAGTGGGGAGATTGTCTTTGTCTACACTAGATGTTACATGGAGCTTAAAATGTATTAATTAAAACATTATTCATTTTCCCAGTGTAGACAAACCCAAAAAGAGAGAAACTGCTGCTTTCTTCCCAATAGAGAGTAGGGTTTTTTTTTTTAAATCTGGGCTGCCCACCCTACAAGATGCAGTAAAGTCTCCAGTCACTCCCACAAACATTGTGCTATAAACAGAGGAGGAGCTTCTCTCTTCCTTTGTGCTTAAGAGATGGATACCCCAATCTTCTCTCTTCCCCCACCTGCTCACACTCTACTCCCTCTACTGTATGTATTTATGTTTAATCTAACTCTGCTTATATGCGAAGACTCAGAGGTGACAAACCTCATAAAAATGTCTAGAGGTAATACTAAAGAAAAATTATGCAGTCAGTGCTTTTCTAAAGGACTGTTAGGAATGGGGATTGGGCAGGGAGGTTCAACTTGCATGTGCTGATTTGTATGCAAGTATAGAGCAGACAGAGTGTGTGTTTGTGTACAACTTCCCCCCCACAAAACTAATGTATTGTCCAGTTCAGGCATGAAATAACTCACAATGATGCTTCCGAGTTATATTTTTCATTATTTTAAACAAAACATATACAATATTCTGGCACTTGCATATCTCTCATCAATCCTAGCAAACCAACTCAACAAAAAGAAAATACGTTTAACAGGAGACAGTGCTCCTAAAAAGTCAATTATTATAAATAAACAAAAACACATACCTAGTGCAATACGTCATCCAGAATCCCAAATGCTACTATTTGATATTCTCCATATTACTTAAGGCATTATAAAACTTGCATGTGTTTCATTTATTCACTGTTTACTTCTACCCGTCCCAAGTTATAGTCTATACAACCATGTGCATCATTCACCTGATTTTTGCAGCTGAGCTATTTTCCTTTGACTTCCTTGTTTAAGTGCCCTTTGCTAATTCATTTTAATCTTTTGATTCTGGTGTTCAAAGCCCTTCATTCTGATATGTTATTTTATTTATATATTTGATGTCTATATTTGCTGTAGTCCAACTTTTACTCTAAGTTATTGCTGTTTCAGCATTTCTACAATTTGCAACATCTAAGTACAGGGCCTTTGCCCACATAGTTCCATCTAGGGGAAATGTGTGTTGCTTATTCATTGCCTCACTTTTAAGTCTTATTTTAAACATTATATTCTGGTTTATATCGTTTCTACACCTTTGTGTTAATTCTATGTTGTTTTAGATATAGCACTTTTGGCGCTCACAGTAAAGTAAAGCAGTAGTTAATTAACATTAACACTGTACTATGTACCAAGATATAAATGTCTAAGTTATACTTAGTTATGCTTGAATTTGTAAATATGATGACTACAATCAGAAACTCCAGCCAGTAGGAGCAGGTGCAAAGCAACCCATTGCTACACTGGGGGGAGAGGGTAAAATGAGGCCACTGCTCCCCTCAGTATCCCCCAGACCCAGAACTGTGCAGGGAAGACCCTCCCATACTCTGGGGAAACAGAGATCCAGGTAGTGCCTCTTGGCCAATCTGCCATGTGGCCTTGGGGAAGGAGTGCAGAGTCTCCAGCTGGTAGGAGAAGCTAAAGAAGCAGCCAGAGCAGGGAGACTCAGAGTACTTTCCATGATTTAACTGGATTTTCTCTGCCCTGTGTTGATTGGCTGTTTGCTCCACCCATTCCCTTTCCCATCTTTCAGTATTTCTTCACTTCAGCTGCAGTCCACACCTGCCCCTTAGCCTCTTCTCCCCAGCCCTATTTCCCTTACCCCCTTCTGTTCAATGTTTCTTACCTTTCACTTTTCTTTTTGTTTAGCGTACCCCCTGCTAACAAAACCCACCTAAAAAAAATTGTGGAATGAATATGACATTTTCTGTCCTCAAACTGTTGACTCTGCTTGTTTGTGACACCCCTTCCCTCCAACCCTGTGTTTGTCTTATCTATTTAGATTGTAAGATCTTTGGGGCAGGACTAGCTGCTACACTGTTTGCACAGTGCCTAGCACAATGGGGCCTCACTGGTTGGTCCTTTGGCAATATCATGATAATTGATTATTAATAATAAAATATAAACATGTAAGTTACACTCAAATGTGTGAATATTAAGACTGCATTCAGTTCCAACACAAAAATAACCAAAGAAAACACTATACAGAAACAGTGTCACATATAAGAATGTCCAATGCATACAGATAAATCTATACTCTAATACTGAACAACACTTGACCCTCTAACAAATGAAACTTTTGGTATTAAATTATAGTCTTTCTTACTTTGCTCTCTTGGCCATCTCATTGCCATCCCAGCGTGGGCTGTAAGGGTAGTTTTTCTGGGCCTGGGAATACAGCTGTCCACTGTTAGTGAAGTGATAGACTGACTGAAATGTTAGAGTTGGCTGGTCTCGAGGAAAGTACAGCGGTAGGTCAACTGCAAAGACAGCAAAAGAAAAAGATGACATGAAAGAGACACCTTTTCTTGCTTTCATCTTTATTGTGAAATATATCATTCCTACCTGTTGACACTAAACTCAGGTTAAGAAATGTAGCTAACCAGATCTTAAATGAAAAAAGTGAAAATGATGGGGAATTCTAACATTTCTTCTTGTACTTCCAATAAACATGGATTACATTATGTCGATGTCTGACTCAATTTATGTTTACTGAAGTATTTTTATTTTACAAAGCAAATGACATGATTTTATTGTGCATTTACAGGTTAATCACAGTATTTCCACCAGTTCAATCTCTCTCTCTCTAATGCTTAATGCATTAAAGTCTGTATTTTTCCAGCTTAGTTTCTACTTTCAGGAATGTTACTATACATTCTGTTTTGCGAAATAGAGCAATATTGTACTTTTATAGACCCTTTCATCTGATGAGCTCAAAGTGCTTTATCAGCCATAATTAATCCTTATACCTTGCCTGGGAGATGCAAGTATTATTATCCCCATTTTACAGATGGATAACTGAGGCCCAGAGAGGTTAAGTGACTTAATCAAGGTCACACTTGCAGAATCTAGAACAGACCAAAGGAATCCCAACTCACAGTCATCAGTGTTAAGCAAACAAACAACTAAAACTACAAAGTTACTGATATCAGAAACTTTTTACTCTTAAGTATCCCCAGAATTAGATCCTATCTCTTTTAACTCCCCTTGTTTATCACCCAAAAAGAAGGAGGCCATCTCAAGATTAGTCAGGTCTGTTAGATCAACAAACCAGTCTACAAGAGAGAGTATTCCAGAGACTCTTCAACTGGTAAAACTTAACCTTTTAATTGCCAAACGTGTTCTTGGAGTATAACATTTTCTTGGGTCTTTTATATTCGGTAGACTTAAAAAATCTCCCTAGTTTGTTTTAAGACTTTTACTTATACATCAATCTCAGTATTTACTTTTAAGGCCTGATCCTGCATCCACTGAAGTCAGTGGCAAAACCTGCACTGTCTTTAGTGATACGGGATTTGGCCCTTAAAGCACCCCTCACTATTCCATTTAATATCCCAAAATGATGCATTCCACTAACCCTAAGAGACAAAAGAACAAATTCTTTAGTCAGCTCACCAATTTAGTTTTGTAAGATTGTAGCTCATTCATGGGAACTTGGGACCTCAGAAATCTTCATTTGTGACTTCACAATTCTACCTAATGAGACGTCAAGGATCCTGACTGAATAATGTCAGATGTAGTATCAAAAGAGAAGCTAACCACCAACTGTAAAATTGCTGAGAATAATAGCAACTAAAAATGGAAAAGGCATGTTAAATCATCTATCCCATTTCTATGCCAGAGCAGGATTGTTTCCTCCAATATATTTGCAAGTGCTTTGTGTATCCTATTTTTAAATGTTTCAAGATATGATGCTTCCACCACTTCCTTTGAAAGCCTCTTCCACAGCCTAAGATATAGCAATCTCAGAAAGATTTTCTGATAGCTTAAATTTTCCTACTCTTTGAACTGGACAAGCCTTATTTCCCCTGCACTCCAAATCAAGCCTGCCAACCCCAGTCACTCCCTCCATATGTTTATGGTAATGAGATACACAAAACTTAATGAGGCATTCCAGCTGTGGTCTCAGGCTAAAGCAGATCACTTAAAGTACTGATGTCTGGCCAGTTCAGTGAGTTCAATAAGTTCAGTCCAGTGTCTGAGTTTTATGTCGTGATAAGGCTCTGATTAACTGGGGGACTCAGCCCACACAAAAGCTTACTTGATACATTTCAGAGGTAACATGATGGACTGATTTCAGAGTAGCAGCCGTGTTACTTTGTATCCACAAAAAGAAAAGGAGGACTTGTGGCACCTTAGAGACTAACAAATTTATTTGAGCATAAGTTTTCGTGAGCTACAGCTCACTTCATTGGATGCATTCAGTGGAAAATACAGTGGGGAGATTTATATACACAGAGAACATGAAACAATGGGTGTTACCATACACACTGTAAGTAGAGTGATCAGGTAAGGTGAGCTATTACCAGCAGGAGGAGGGGGGTGGAGAAACCTTCTGTAGTGATAATCAAGGTGGGCCATTTCCAGCAGTTGACAAGAACCTCTGAGGAACAGTCGGGGGTGGAGGGGGGAATAAACATGGGGAAATAGTTTTACTTTGTGTAATGACCCATCCACTCCCCGTCTTTATTCAAGCCTAAATTAATTGTATACAGTTTGCAAATTAATTCCAATTCAGCAGTTTCTCGTTGGAGTCTGTTTTTTTAAGTTTTTTTGTTGAAGAATTGCTACTTTTAGGTCTGTAATCGAGTGACCAGGGAATTGAAGTGTTCTCCGACTGGTTTTTGAATGTTAGATGGACACAAATCAGACGTCAAGAATTATCAAGATCAATTTTGGGGAAGAACATTACTATGTTAAAGAAAAAGAAATATTAGATTAAAAAATGAAATACTTTGTCAAAGTCTTCTTGGTGGCATAGTTAATGCACGATATCCCTGAAAAAGAATTGCCACACATTGAGCCACTTATCAGTAAGCAAACTACTTGTTCCTCTCTCTTACAGACATTACTCTTATGCCAAATAATCAAAAGAGCTGCTCTGTAGAGAGCAACGGAAACCCCAGGAGACTGGTACTCAGTTTTGAAGTTGGAAGTTTACTTTGTCTAATTCTGTATATTGAAACTCCATTTCTTAGTACAACCTTTATCTGCTCTCTCTGCAGAATCAATTCCTTGAGGAAAACCCTCCCTCAAATAACTGTGCAAATGGTATGAAACACTTGTTTGCTTGTAAGTACGAAGGATAGCAAACTCCAGTAAAGAAATTAAATCATATTATCTCTATTTATTTCATTTTTTACTAGAGAATTTCTGGTCTCCATTAGCTTGATTTTGAAAACCTCTCCCTATGTGAAAGAGGCAATAATAGCATTTTTCCTCCCATTAACTAAACCAAAAGCTTTGTTTTTAAGAAAAAGTATATAGCAGTAGAGCTACTGTCTAAAAGCACTATAGAGACATTGCTGTCACTTCAGAGAAGCTCTCATTTCCTGTGATTAGCCGTTCATCTTTCAGAGTATTTTTTCAACAGAGGTACAGCAAGAGAAGAAAGAAAGAAAGAAAGAGCTTCCTCCTTTTCTGATCCAAAACATTTAGGGAGGCTTTCAGGAGTCAAATATAATGTAAACCGTGGAACCAGACGATCAAAATAGATAGGTTTACATTTGAAGTGTCCACTCCTGGCCAAGAGCAGTACCACCTTGAACTTCAAGCCAAATCTTGAAAAGTAATAGTAGCTGCCTTTGATTTCTAAAGCTATTGTCCACCTAAGAACACAAAGGACAACCAAAACTCCCATTTTTTAAACCAAGTGCTTCTCTAATTAAGGATGTGAGCTGAGTCTCATGAAGCAAAAATGTGACCCTAATTATGGAGCACAACCACACCTATAGTTCAAGAAAACAGGAAATGGCTCTGAACTTTAACCTGCTCTACACATCTCAAATAGCCAGCTATTATTTCAGAAGTAGACATTAAGGGCCAAATTCATTGCTGGCATAGCGGGCATAAGTCCACTGGAGTTAATAAAGTAGTAGTTTCTTATGTCAAGTTTGAATTCAGCCCCAAAGTTTTCACATCACATAAAATAAGCAAACATGTTATAAGTTAATATTTACAAGGGGTTTTGAAGATAAAGGGTCATATTTTGCTCTTGGTCAAACCTGTGTTTTTGTGGAGGAGGCAAAGGTGTGATGGAGAAGATTTTTACCCTTCACTGGTTATACAAATGATATAATTATGTATTATAGAACACAGATAAAATCTGCTTCTGTATAGTATACAAGGGTACAGAGTTAAGTGTTGGCAAAATTATATCAAGCGCACACCACATTTATATTTTACTATGTAGAATGCATCACAGTGCAAAATCAATCACACTTTCTTAAGTGAGCATCTGAATTGTGAAGATTACAAAAGCAAGCTTTGGTTTAGCATATTATTTAGCCACAGTACTCAGATACTTAAGAAACACAAAAAAAGTATTCATGTTGAATGCAAGTGCTATTTCCAAATCAAAGCTGACTCACAGGTACCTTGGTGGTGTATCTGCAGACAATAAGTGGATGACTCATGTCTGTAAATTCCTAAAAGTGGCAATAGACCCTTGCTTAGTCATCTTTTGCATGGATGCTGTTTCATGAGCTTTGTAAACCATAATGAGGGATTTAGCTCTTTACCAGCATTTTTTTTTGCCCTTCTAAACAGTACAAATTACATCTCTAAAAATAACTTTAGGTGAGTCACGTCACTTAACAAGCTTCCACAAGTCATACGGTTAAATAGTAATATTTACTTAGGAAGGTACAAATCTTGCTGTCAAACTAGTCTTGGTTTTAAAATGAAAAGGTTGTCAAAAGAAGTCCCATTTACCCCTTCTCTCCCAGGAATGGAAGCGCTTCCGTTGGAAAATTTAAACTATTAACTAGTTCAGGAAAGTAAAGCTTTCTGATTCAGTTTCAGATTCAGCATAATTTAATCATTTTGATTTTTTACTTTGGCTTATTTTTTTAAAATAATTATTTTAAATAACACAATAATTGGCCAGAGGAGCACACAAGTAGGGTTAAAAACAGAAAGACACTTGTTTCACTCAGACTTAGACTACACTAACATTTACAGACTAATTACCAATAGGGTCAACTCCCTAATTTGGCAAAGCTCTGATCCTTACTCAGGTAAAACTTTTATGGCAGTGCTGAGTAAACCCGAGCAAAGAACCTCAACATTGCCCCTAACTTTTTATTCTGTGTTTATTCCAAAATGAAAAAGAAAAAGTGATTTGCACATCAAGAATGAATCAAAGAGATTTAATTACAGCTTATAAATAGTTTGATGTTTTCTAAATATAAAAGAAGCTACAAAAAACAATACATACACATTTGAGCTTTTCTTGCTTTTGTGCTGTCATGTAATTTAA